CCCATAATTCCCTATGACAACCTAGGACTTGTACCCATAATTCCCTATGACAACCTAGGACTTGTACTCATAATTCCCTATGACAACCTAAGACTTGTACTAATAATTCCCTATGACAACCTAGGACTTGTACCCATAATTCCCTATGACAACCTAGGCCTTGTACCCATAATTCCCTATGACAACCTAGGACTTGTACCCATAATTCCCTATGACAACCTAGGACTTGTACACATACTTCCCTATGACAACCTAGGACTTGCACCTATAATTCCCTACAACAACCTAGGACTTGTACCCATAATTCCCTATGACAACCTAGGACTTGTACCCATAATTCCCTTTGACAACCCAGGACTTGTACCCATAATTCCCTATGACAACCTAGGACTTGTAACCATAATTCCCTATGACAACCTAAGACTTGTACCCATAATTCCCTATGACAACCTAGGACTTGTACCCATAATTCCCTATGACAACCTAGGACTTGCACCCATAATTCCCTATGACAACCTAAGACTTGTACTTATAATTCCCTATGACAACCTAGGACTTGTACCCATAATTCCCTATGACAACCTAGGACTTGTACTCATAATTCCCTATACAACCTAGGACTTGTACCCATAATTCCCTATGACAACCTAGGACTTGTACACATAATTCCCTATGACAACCCAGGAGATATACCCATAATTCCCCATGACAACCTAAGACTTGTACTAATAATTCCCTATGACAACCTAGGAGATATACCCATAATTCCCCATGATAACCTAAGACTTGTACCCATAATTCCCTGACAACCTAGGACTTGTACCCATAATTCCCTACGACAACCTAGGACTTGTACCCATAATTCCCTATGACAACCTAGGACTTGTACCCATAATTCCCTATGACAACCTAAGACTTGTACTAATAATTCCCTATGACAACCTAGGACTTGTACCCATAATTCCCTATGACAACCTAAGACTTGTACCCATAATTCCCTACGACAACCTAGGACTTGTACCCATAATTCCCTACGACAACCTAGGACTTGTACCCATAATTCCCTATGACAACCTAGGACTTGTACCCATAATTCCCTATGACAACCTAAGACTTGTACTAATAATTCCCTATGACAACCTAGGACTTGTACCCATAATTCCCTATGACAACCTAGGACTTGTACCCATAATTCCCTATGACAACCTAGGACTTGTAACCATAATTCCCTATGACAACCTAAGACTTGTACCCATAATTCCCTATGACAACCTAGGACTTGTACCCATAATTCCCTATGACAACCTAGGACTTGTACCCATAATTCCCTATGACAACCTAAGACTTGTACTAATAATTCCCTATGACAACCTAGGACTTGTACCCATAATTCCCTATGACAACCTAAGACTTGTACCCATAATTCCCTATGACAACCTAGGACTTGTACCCATAATTCCCTATGACAACCTAGGACTTGTACCCATAATTCCCTTTACAACCTAGGACTTGTACCCATAATTCCCTATGACAACCTAGGACTTGTACCCATAATTCCCTATGACAACCTAAGACTTGTACTAAGATTCCCTATGACAACCTAGGACTTGTACCCATAATTCCCTATACAACCTAGGACTTGTACCCATAATCCCTATACAACCTAGGACTTGTACCCATAATTCCCTATGACAACCTAGGAGATATACCCATAATTCCCCATGACAACCTAAGACTTGTACTAATAATTCCCTATGACAACCTAGGAGATATACCCATAATTCCCCATGATAACCTAAGACTTGTACCCAT